CGTTCTGTTTTCGAATATATTTACGTCGTTATTGCTCAAATTATATTCGGTCAGACTATTTATAAATGCTGTCTGTCTGTCATAGTGTCTGTTTATACACACACACACACACATCTTTATTATTAATAGAATAAAAACAGAATTGCCTTTAATGCTTCCAACACACACAATTTGAAAAACATGACTAAATCAATTTGAAATATCGTTTTAAGAAAAACACCAATGAAGAATTTTACGCTGCTTATATTTAAAGTTTCCTAACATAAATCTGAATGAATGGCTAATTAAATTTCTATAAACAGAGCTCAATTAAATTGAAATATTTATTTTAATATTTCTTCACGCTATTTATATTTTTATAGAGAATATGAAATAATATGATTTCAAAATAACGCATATAATTTTTGGAATATTTCTAAAATATTTTAAATTGAAACTTAAAATTTCGTAAAAATATATATATATATTTTATTCTAAGAGAAATTAGGATAATGTTTGTGATTATATTTTGTTATAAATTAAAAATTAATAGGCCTAATATCAACATTAAATTGTTATTACTAGATATTTAAACAAAATATAAACAAATAAGCTTGTTCTTGTAATTTTAATTGTTTATTTTAATATTTTAAGAAGATATTTTGTATATAGTAGAAGTTCGTTGATCTGATATTCAATAATCCGAAATGCCTGGATTTCCGATACCTTCCAAAAATTAACCGATAATCCGGTATTATCCGGTAATAATCCAACATTGCTTAGGCGGAATTTGGTCACTTAGTATGCTGAATATCCGAGAAACGTGTTCATTAATTAATGTTTTCGCTGGTTTCTTTCAATCAACCTTATTAACACAGTGGAATCATCCTGTATTATGTTCAAACTTATTAAACAGCAGCATGCGCCAGTACACAATGTACCTTTTACAGCAGTCTGAAAAGTTCAGTTTGCTAATAACTTGTGGAATCTTACGAAAATACAAAACGTCCAGTAATCTGGCATTTTCGATAATCCGACATCATTCTTGTTCGACAGGTGTCGGATTAACGAACTTCTACTGTAAATCAGATAGTTATTGTGTTTAGTAGTAGCCTATTTGTAGAGATATAAATTTGGGTTCGCTTTCAAATTTTTTTTTTACATTTTTATTTATTATCTTGTGTTTCGTAGAGTTTTAGAATATTTTGTTATAAAAATTACATTGGAAGCAAATTTAATGTATTTATTTTTCTCAACACATTGTACTTAAACAATTTAGACTTTCTTGATTTACTTAATAATCTGCTTTTTCTTTATTATTTATTGATTAATTTACATAAAATTAACCCGCATTTCCATTCTGCAACACAATTTTATTTTTTTTATTAAAGTTAAAATTACTAAATAAAAAAACATTTAGTTTTTCTAAATTGCATTTTTTGATTTTCATACATTTCTCCCAAATTCAGATAAATAATAATAATATTCCAAATAATATATAAATGGTTATTTGATTCTATTTCTTTTTTAACACACACACAAAATATACAAATATCAAATTATATACAAGTTATTTTCTCTTCTGAATGAACATGTTTATTAAGTTTAGTCTATCAGAAGGTCGTTAAATTCTAGTTAAATCCAAGAGTTTCGAATAAACGATAACTCTCTCTTTCTCTCTCTCTAAAAAAGAATGAACTTACGATAAAATAAATGATAAAAATCAAATAATTTTAACTTTTAAAACTTATGATGATGATGATAATAATAATAATAATAAGTTTCTGTAATCATATTTCAACTTTTCTTTATTTCTGTTCGCGATTACTCAATATAATAAATTTTCAAAATTTATTGAAAATATTATTTTAACATAAGAATGACATGTCACACTAGTGCTGCAATATATATAAGCTTATGAGAAGTAACTTTGATTACCATTTTATATAAATTATTTATATTTAAGTGCACTTATGTCGATCGGCAAAAGAAATTCCGCGAATTTCCCGAGTTTTTTTTAGATTTCCAGATCTTCTAACAATCATAAAATTCCTAGTTTTCCACACGAGTCATCATTCTGGACAGATATTTTCATATTCGTTTCCATTTTACCTTTACTAAATAAAGTGTATAGAAAAATGTAATATTCCCTATCAATATAAAGTTTCATCTATATATATATAAAATTACATGTCCTGACTGACTGACTGACTGATTCATCATTGCCCAGAGCAAACTGCTGAACCTAAAGAGACGAAATTTGGTACACAATTAGGGTATGTCATAAAAATGCACACTAAGAAGGGATTTTTCAAAATCTCCCCCCCCCCTGTGGCACAGAAGGAGAGGATTAAGATTTAACCTGAGGAACAGCTTCTACTACACTATTTTAGATGCAATTTTTTGTTTTTTATAGTAATAACTTAATTTCCAAACATACAGTATTTACCAAATCATCCAAATCATTTGCCCGAGCAACACCGGGCTCATTTGCTAGTCTACTCATAAATTTATTTTCTTACAATAAAATTTTATTATAATATAAAATTTCAAAGAAAATTCAAAGATGAATTTGTAATTATATGAAATCCATATAAAAATAACAATAATTTAGTAAATCTGAAATTTTTGTAGTGATCTTGATGTTTATTGTTTTGAAACTGAAATTATTTAAAAGAAGCTTCATAGTTGCCATCTGGCATATAAGTTTGAAAGCATTTCTCCACAACTAAAGTATAAAATAACCTTGACTTATTTAACACACACAAAATGTGAATTTTTATACAGATTGAGAACAAATAGAAAAATCACTATACACTGTCCGCTTATCTAACCGACTGCTACAAATATTTTAAATTAAAACTCATATTTTCTGAAATTATTTAACATAAAGATAAATTTAATAATAAAAAGTTAGCATAAATGAATACTACAATCAAGCATCCATGCACACTGTTTCAAACATCTGATTGCCAATCATAATGATGCAAGTGGCAGACTAATAAAAAACAAAACAGAGAGTATTAGAAAAAAAAAAGGAATATACAGTACATGTAAATAAAGTATAAAAAATGAATCAAAACCATTTTAAATGCTATTAACTTATACAACTTTTTATTATAATAGTTTATAATATATCTTGTTGGAAGTGAGCATAAAATTGCTTAGAACTATTCATACAGGAACATGACAATGGTAGATTATACAAGCTTTATTGAGTAGAAATGAAATATATTTCAGACTATTTGTCCCTCACCAGTCCTTTTATTCAATACATATCTGGTTAAAAACATTAAAAGTTTTGGGATTACAATTCTAAATACTTATGTATATGTACTGTACTAAAACACCAAAAATAATGTTACTTGGAAAGTAGTAATGATGCATATTATAGTTATATGGTGACAATTGGATTCACAAATAATGCATTAAAAATTAAGTGAAAGGTATAAAATTTAAATAAAATAAATATCCTAAAAGTTTAAAAGTGTTAATAAAAAAAAGGAATATCTGTTGGAAGGAAAAAAGGAAAGTTGATAAAATAAAAATCTAAAAGTAGTAACATAAAACCATTAAAATACTAAAAAAGGTAAAACATTACTGTATAACCTTCAGCCAAATGATAGATATATGGTACAGTATAATATATTAAAATTAAAAGGAAAATGGAAAGGGATAAGGAGGAAGTGTATCTTAAAATGGACTCTTCTCAGAACTATAGTAGAGAATAGTCAAATCTCATTTATTATATATTTTCTTACAAAGTTGCATAGAAACTCATACCTGCATATAATTACTTATTTAGTGATCAAAAAGGTTAAAAGTGAAAAATTATTAAAAATTGCTGGTGGTAATGTTGCCAGTTTAGTTTCAAAAGAATTGATAACAAATTTGGTGGCAGTTATAGACTAAACGTTTTTGATTTTTGAGTTATTGTGTATGTGAACAAATGTTTACGGTACTCAAGACCAGTTCTAACATAATTTTGAATAACAATTCAAGTGAAGAATACAAAATTATTTCATCAAGAGCATTAGATAACATAATTCATAGCTATCAAGAGCTATGTGCAGAAAAGAAGGGAATACTATGTCAAACAACATTGGATGTAGGCAAATGCCTATCTTATAGTAAGTGCTGGAAATTACCATTGTACTCTTCACAAACATACTTGATGAATCATGTTGGATAATACATTTTGCATTGTAACAGTTGACATTCCATCCAATATGTTGAATATTTGCTTTCAGCTCTTGCAATGTGTGAAGATCATTGAGATACACAGTGTTCTTGAGATATTCCATTTAAAAAATTTGAGGGACTTAAGTCTGGGGATTGTAGTGACCTAATGATGATCCCTTGAAATTAACATAATGTAATTCTGACTGTAGATCATTTTATGAAAAAAAGCAGTAAAAATTCTTCAATATAACATTACACATCACACTAAATTTCTGTGCATAAAGAGATGACTTTGTAATGCCTAAAAGTTTTCTATGGATCATATTAATTCTGTGCATTAATATAACCATCCAAATGAAATAATGCTTTATCAGACCAATACTATCTGTCGTGTTTTTTGCCATCTGGAATCAGTTTGGTTTATTCATAGAAAATGTATATTTTTTCTAATCAATATACAATATATTCTTGCAATTATACTGTGACCTGAGGGATTTTTAATGTCTTTTGTATATTGAGGAGCTTCAAAGAACAGACAAGTGCCTCAAAATAAAGGCCAACTCCATTGCAACCCACTTTATACTATTTTATTTGATCCCAAGATATGAAGGAGGACTAATTATGAAGAAGTAACTTGTGATTATTTTAGTGTTTCTTTTGAATTTGTGAAATTATTATTAATTAAAAAGTTAATATATCCAAATATAGATAGATTTATTAAGTAATTTGTACATGCATTAAATATAAATTTTTTAAATTCATTATGTAAAAATTAAATTTTATTATTAAATTTAATCCGTTTATAATTCAATTCAATTCAATTTATTTATTCCTTTAAGGGTTAAAACCACCTGGAATGCAGGAGAATACATTAATTAAAAATTTATTTAACAAATTATAAAATGAAAACAACATATGAGTCGATACATCTTTAACATTTTTGCCTTCAGCTCTTGTCTTTAAATAACTTCTCACATTATCATTTTTATAAATTAAAAAAGTAAGTTATAATTAAATTCTGATCTAATGTATGAAAATTTAATACAATGAAAAAGTAAATGTTTTAATGAATAACTACTAGTTTTACAAAATTGACAAAAATCTGAACTGATTAAATGAATAAAAATGTTTTTTCCATACAAAATGAACTTATTTAGCTGGAGTTGAATAAAACTTTTTTCACATTAAAACTGATATACCGGTTATAAGTTGTATGTGGGTCAGTAATAGACCAAAAAATGGAGTATCAGGGATGATAAGATGCTGCACTTATTTTGGTTGAATCATTTCTGAGTAAATATTCTTGAAAGCTACATAAGTGTGTCTTAGATATCTCAGAGATGTCTTCTGGATAAGATTCCATCAGTCTTAAAGAAAAGCTCTAAATGCAAAATATTGTCACGTTGAGTATAACAGTTGTTGTTATGTTTCTTTTCACTAAGTTCTTTTAACTTTAAATATGCTGAATAATCCAGTGAAAGTGGGTTTTTAAATATCCTTCATATATAATTAAACGTCCTTTTTAATATGTTAATCCTAATATCATGGAGATTTAGTTCTGCTTTCAAGAAATAATAAGGTAAGGAATGATCTAAGCTAAATAGCTTTTTATAATACAGCATATGTAATTTTGGTTTGTAATCTTATAATGCAGCATATGTAAATTGATAAATTGGGAAATGATCCAAATTTTAATTCCATAGAGTGTGAGATTATCTACCAATGAATTACCCAAAGACTTGTTCAAATAAATATTAATGGATTTGATTGAACTGTGAATTTTAATTACTTTTTTTATTCTTGACATAAGTTTCTTTTTTATAAATTTGAAATGAGCAAAAGTTAAAGGAGAAGTGAAGACAACTCCCAGATAAGAAATCTCTTTAACCATTTCTACATATTTATTGTCAGTAAAAAATTTGTCTGCTTTTCATAATTGAGAACCAGTTTTTCATTTAATCTTTCAATCATTTAATCATACGAATCGAGAACCATTGCCAGAAGGCAATGGTTCATGATTAGTAGCTAGCAACAAAGGTAACAAAGTAAGAATATTAATTTTTGTTTTATCCAAAATCTGGTAAAGACTGCAAGAATCCCTCTAATTACACAACCAATCTCTCTGACGAGTTGTCTCTGTAAACTCTTCAAAAGAATGATAAACAGACGTCTGATATATCTCTTAGAGAAAATTGTATACTTTTCACCACATCAGAGTGGTTTTTGTAGGAACAGAAGTATGATGGACAACTTAGTAAACCTTGAAACATCTATATGTGAAGCGTTTGTTAGATGACAGCACTTAGTGTCTGTGTTTTTCAATATTGAGAAGGCCTATGATCGCTGTTGGTGATACAGGGTACTCTGTGATATGCATCAATTCGGATTGCAGGGTAATTTGCCAATTTTTATAAAAAACTTCCTACAGAATCGAAGATTTCAAGTCAGGATGAGCACAACTTTATCTAGGCTTTTCACACAAGAAGAAGGTGTCCCTCAAGGCTCTATTCTGAGTGTGACTGTTCCTAATTAAAATCAATAGCATAGCTAACTGTCTCCCTCCTAGTGTGAAACACTCCCTGTATGTGGATGACTCTCAGATCTCCTGCCAGCTAGTAACATGAGTTTCGTTGAGAGACAACTGCAAACCTCCCTAAATCGCATACACAATTGGTCCAAGACCAATGGTTTTAGTTTCAACACAGAGAAGACCTCATGCATCCACTTTTGCCGAAGGCATGGTTTGCACCTGGATCCGGAAATTTACCTAAATGAGGATAAAATCCCAATGGTCATGGAGGCTAAGTTTTTAGGTGTTATATTTGACCAAAAGCTGACTTTCTTACAACATTTGCGCAACTTGAAGAGTAGATGTTTAAAATCTTTGAACCTTTTAAAGGTTCTGTGCTGCTCATCCTGAGGAGCAGACAAATGTTCTATTCTCAGATTTATAGGGCCCTTGTCTGCTCAAAGCTGGATTACAGATGCATTGTTTATGGCTCAGTGCGAGAATCTACTCTTCAAATGCTGGATCCATCATCAAGCTTTGCGTTTGTGCACTGGTGCATTTCAAACTTCCCCTGTCCAAAGTTTGTACATGGAAGCTTATGAGCCTCCACTATCTCTCAGGAGAGAACAGTTGTCTCTTTTTTATTACATTAAACAAAAATCTCAGAAAAGACTTACAGCTGATTGTTCAGATACTCAGCTGAAAAGATTATTTGCAGCTCGGATGAGTAGTGTCCCTACATTCGACATAAGAATGAAGAATGTAAGCAGCATGATTGACACAAACTACATCTCACAGGTTAAGGTTGATAGTATATCATCTTGGTCAACCCCAGCAATAAATGCTGATTTAAGCTTAAAGTAGTACCCCAAAGAAACCACGCTGGATTATGTCTATAGACAGCGCTTCGTAGAGATTCAACATTGTGACAGGAATTTAATTCCCATTTATACTGACAGATCTAAATCAGATAACTATGTTGGCTCAGCCTTTGTTTGCCAGGATGAAATCCTGGCAAACAAATATCACCGAATTCTTCTATATTTACTGCAAAGCTGCGGGCTATTTACCTAGCTTTAAAGTATGTAATCAGTAAAGGTCATGGTTGCTGGGTGATTTACACTGACTCAGTTAGTGCACTTCGGGTTTTGATCTTGTGTGAACCTAGTTCTCACTCTATAGTGATTAAAATTCATAATCTTCTTACAAGGAATCTCTCCATAAAATTTTGTTGGGGCCCAGGCCATGTTGTATACATATAAGATGGAATGAAGAAGCTGACGCAGCTGCAAAGGCAGCTAGTCCTTCACAGCATGAAATGCCTATCGAAGGAGGTGATTTGAAGCTAGTAGTTAAAAATGACTAGCAGAGAGATGGCAAAACATGTGGAATGCACAAATCCACAATAAACTACACAAGATCAAGCTGATGATAGAAAATTGGACACGTAATAAACAGTATAACAGGAGATCTGAAGTTATTCTTACTCATTTGAGAATTGGACATACTTGGTTGACTCATCAATACCTTTTGAAGGGTGAAGACCAGCCACTATGCCAACATTGTAACTGTACTGTAAGTGTTAAACACATACTGTGCAACTGCATATCCTCTGAGATGATTCGTAGACAGCATTTTGGAAATGCAAGTTTCACAGAGATTCTGGGCCAGAGGCCAAATCTTAATAAATTATTGAACTTTCTGAAAGTCACTAAGAATTATAAACAAATCTGATTATATATTTATATCTTGTTCAAGATTTGGCTTCTGGCCCAGAATCAGAAAGTTTAACTTTCAGAAAGTTAAACTATAGAGTCATAACTAGGTTTATACGAGATCAAAGCCTGAAGTGCNGTTACTCTAAGTCAAAAAGATAAATAATTTGATGCATCAGTCACAAATAGTAATAATAAAAAAAAAAAAACAGGAATTTTATAAATTATACAATTCCTTAATATGTTTAAACTGCTCTTGGTTATTTCAAGTCAGAAGAAAAGATTGCTTTGTTTTTATAGATAATGATGTACTGTATTTTCATATAATCTTTGATGGTGTATACCTTGGAGGAAACTTTTAAAATCTTTGCATAGCATGCCCTACTGTATACTTTGCATCTATGAAGCAATGATTGCTCTCATAATTCCCTAGAATTTAAAGTTGTAATTTTTCAATTTGCAATTTGAAATTGGCATGTAACCTGCCCATCACATAATCTTCCCTCCCTTTCAAATATTGTCTTTTAATTGATATTAATAGAAATTACTATTGTCATTGGGCTGTAATTTTCAAATTGTAGATCTATAAATTTTCACTGGAGCCATCTGTTTGCCTGTCCTTCTTTAATCTTAGATTAGATAGATGAAAGTTGAGATAGTATGTGGAAAGCTTAGGGGCAATAGGCCTTGATTAACTATATACAAACTTCTGGTCAGGATAGGACTTTTAATCACCTGACTTCTGGTCATGACTAGAAGTCAAGTGATTTAAATTCAAAAATTTTCCCCAGAATGGAGTTAGATAGATAACCAGTATGATTCTGTTGTTATCAGGAAAAGTAGGATGTATAGGGGCAAGACACTACTAAAATTGAAAGCATACATGGTATATTGTAAATTAAATAAATTAAAAATATGATTTAAAATTTTAGTCCAGCATTGAGACATTGTCACAATAATTTTTGCTCATTCAGTTTGCATTTATCATTATTATAAGTCAAAGATTAAAAATTGTACATATTTACTTGTCTTTAAAAATAATATACTTTATAATTAATAATAATAAAAAAATTTATAAAAATTGTAATTATAAAAAAATTATTACTATAAAAAAGTAAAGACTGAACAATTCATTCATATATATAAAGTTTCATGTAAGGAGTATTCTTAGAAAAAACTAAAATGCAGAATTTATTAAAATATTTTTAAAATGAAAATAAATTTTACAATTGAAAACTAGTAAGATTTTAATTATTATAAATAAATAAAATAAATTTAAATGATAAATTATAGTTTAATTAAATTATTGTTTTAATTAACTCACATATTTGGTAAATTTTTTAAGATAAAGTGTTTGTTAAAAAAATTGATACTGATTTAGAAATTGAAAACATTATTTTGAGAATATTTTACACATTATCTAAAAAGATATATAGAATTAGAATTATTTAGTTTTATTTATTTAGTAATTCTGTCTGAAATCACAATAGTAATGTGAGATACTTTCAAGAATCACATGATTTTTTATTTACTTATTTTTCACTTATTTATTTTATGAATTTGTTTTCATATTGTAATTATTTTCTTTCCACAGTTATCCATAAATAAAACAATAAACACCAACTGTACCAGAAAACTGGAACTGTATGGTACTGTACTGTACATGTAGATAAGAAATTATACTTAAATGCAAAATTTCCAGCACAAAAATTCAATATTCTAACATATCTGGCCACTATTTCATTGGCTGTAAACGTTAGAATATTGAATTTCTGT